ACTATTTAGTGTTAGCTAATTTTCGCATGTTATGATTTAATCGTGGAATAACATCTTTGGAAACTAGCGCACGCTCAGCTTCTTAACAAAATGAAAATGATTTAAGATATTCAATAAGTATTAACCATATATTAGAGAAATGTATTCTCTCCCAGTGCTGATTTTAAGCTACCGACATATATAACCAAGATTTTAAGAGAATGTACACTTTAACTCTTAAAATCTATGCAAACGCATTACTGCTCAAAGTGAGAAAAACACTATGTCGGACCAGATGAACGCCCTCTTCAGCTTCGCCTACATGAGTATCAATAAGCGATCAAAAGACCTGACATTTCTTCACTAATATCAACACATGCGGACAATTGTTGACACACGTTTTATTGAGAAAATGTCCAAATATTGGATATAAGGAGTATAAATAACATTAGAAAAATTTTCGAAGCCTGGCATTCAAGTCAATCAGCAATCACATCAACACCTAATCTATTGACCAACCGATCGAAAAAATCATAGATAAACACATAGGATCAAGAAACAGATCAAAGAGAGATGCGATCAAAATAAAGTTGCAGACGAAGACAGGTTTAAGGTCAATAATAACAACCAATCAGGATCAAGGTCAACAGAACATCTTGTGAGTAGCCATACGTGGAGAAATTGCGAATGCTTCATTTCGTCTAATTGAAGTTTGTGCTAATGGTGTTGTCGTTCAGCGAGAAAGCAATTAAAGCTTCACAACCAAACAAACCATCCGGCTGTTCAGAAAACGAAACTCCATTACAATCATTCATCTGATCTAGAAATTTTCTTACACCATCTTTTAATATTAATATTTGTCGTAGCTACTACTTTGACGTGGTGGTTGGGTTTGCCTATCGTAATGACCCAATCGAGCTATATTGGCTGGAACATAAGTTCCTGCAGGTCCTACCATGCCAGGCAGGTCGATTGGAGAACGATGAGACTAAAAGCAGCTACTCAAGGTCTGAGGTCGAAGTCGTACTGCTGACTGACTGTAGAGGGGTGTGACAACAGTAAGGTGTTTCCCTTGGACAACCAGCATCTGCAGTGATGCTGTTGCCTTCTCACAAGGAAGGAAAGGTTAGAGAAGGTCGACCCTAAAAATGTCACACCTCACCCTACCTCACAGATTTCCGTCTCCGGCTGTAAGGGATGCCCAATAAGGGCCATGCGTGGCCTGCCTCAAGGGGTTGCCTCTTGGACTTTGTGGTCACGCTGTGGTGCTGTGGTGCGAACTACTTATAAGTAGTATATAGCGTGAGTGTCAACGTAAAGTCTGGTAGCATAATATGGGGGGAAGATCAAGAAAGGAAGAGTTAGAAAACAATGGAATTTGTATCAAACGCATGAAAAGTGACAATGGATTGATGTTTGGCAACAGGAACAGTCCAGTTCCATAGGATGAACTGATCTTTTGCAAATGAACGATTTACGATATGGTTTTCCGATTTTACTGAGTAACTCTGTAATTTTCGTTAAATAAAAATTCGGTTGCCTCCACCTGTGTTCTCAGTCACTACAACGCTCCCAGGTCTTTAATATCAACGCTAATCTAACTTACTTTTTCAGGTACCTCAAGAAACGCCCTTTCATGGTGTGGGCAGCCGGTAAATGAAAACCGCCCTCATATCCGTAACAGCTAACTCATGATAATTATTAACTTTTCTCTACTCCTATAGTACACTCAATTTATCTATTTTAATGAATAGTCAATCGAAAAAATTTGTCATTTTTGTAGACCATAATGATTTCACCATGTATTTTATATATTATATCTTCTAATGGATGGATGATATTAAGTATTTTTTTTCATTTCATTTTGATTTATCTATCTGTCTATCATCATTTTGTAATATGTTAATAATATACTTCTTTTGGTTATGCATGATGATAAATAGGAAACATTATATATGTGTATATATATATGTTTAGAGTATGGTAATTTATGTATTGAATAATGTACGCATTATACTGATTGCATAGCAATTAAGTTGTATAATCAATCTACTTAGCTAGCCAAGTTTACCACATGAATAGCTTGTCTTGTTACAGTCAATGCTACATGAACTGTAGTTACATATATACATACATATACATATATATAAATTCCTTATTTGTTTGGCAAAGTATTCCTTTGTCTTTCACCATTCTTTTTCCTACATTAATTTGATGAGATATTACTTTTTGTTTACTTGACAGTAACTAACCAAAAGACACGATTACAGATTTTAAAAACAAATTGGACATGGTTTGAATTTGAGAGTTATATCATTCGTTAAAATATTAGTGCTTAATTCATAGAGTCACAATTATCACTAAAAATCAATTGTAACTCGTTAAAACTATGTAATTTATTCAAAATTTGTGACCTTGCATCCACTTGTCTTATTTCTGGTTCGTTACAATTCCACATTCTCAGTGAAAAACAGACTATTGAAATCACAGGTTGATCAATGTTAAGTCACCAGTAGAAACCTAGAGGTACTGAACGGTCTTTTTCTGTTAGTGTTGGACTCATTAGCAGTGCTTGGCTAGCAGGGACCGAAGGCATGACCGTTCGTCTCAGACGAGATCGCTTTAGTTCTAGACCACTGAGCCAGCAACCAACAGTGTTAATATCTATCAATCTTGCGCGACCTGATCAATTGTTTGTCGATGGGTACTGCTTCACATCCGACAGGGTGTTGTAACTCCAATCAACGGTCTTAACGTTTCACTAGAACTCACAGTGCTAGTCACTAGTAAGCATATGATAATTTTCATTAGAGTAGGGTTGTGAAGATTATCAGGCTTCATTGGAATAATGAATCGATCGATGCTACAAGACTATCATTAGAAAGTTAGAAGCATTGGATGGTTGTTTCATTCTAGTATGCTCAGGATCATTTGTAATTGCATAGGTGCATTTCATTTCACTTTCACTACTGTTCGATTTGTACCGAGAATTTGATCTCTTTGTGCTAATGTAAATTTTGACAACTTGAACTGATGTGTACACAATGTGCCAATTTCTTATGAAGTTAGCGAATTAGTTTTCTATGGGACGGTGTCGTTAACCTACGCCCAACCCTCCTCCTTCATCCGGTCTTTAGATCGGCAGCATCCTTAGAGGGACTCCAGGTGGATCTGTCCCAAGTTCTATGTTACAAATATGATTGATTGACTGTTTAATTTTTTTCTCAATTGGAAATTGCATAAAATTTATTCATGCAATTCACTAATGAATAATTCGTATAATTTAATTCTTTTATGACATAAAAATTATTATTTTTTTCAATCAATTTCTAATGTAATCAACTGGAACATTTGTTTAAATTTTTAAAGCTAATGATATACATTATTTTTGTACAGACAATTAATAAGTTTATAAATTGATAGCGTTAAAGGATGCGGAAACAAAAATTAACAGCAATGCCAATATGTACACTTTATTGGCCAAATGAATATAAAATCACAATGAAAACTCATAGTGCTGTGACCCTACAATCGATCTTACTTACTTACTTACTTACTTACTCACATCTGTTACCCTTCGTGGAGCATAGACCATCGACCAACATTCTCTAACCTACTTTGTCCTAGGTCTCCCCTCCCATTTCTACCTGACTGCTGTTTACTCTTTTCATGCTTCCAATTCTCGACGTAATATGTTCTTTGGTCTCCTTCATTTCCCTTGACCTTGAGGATTCCAAGTTATGGCTTGTCATGTGACCAATTCGGTTGCTTTTCATTGTGTGTGTCGTAAAATTGAGCTATGGTCTAATAAAACATATTTCTCATATGTTTCTTCATCACTGATTATTAATATTTCAATGATCGAATCATACTTGCAAAGAAACTCAACAATCACCACCAATTTATCATCAAAACTATTATTGATTTGCGAATTCATATTTATAATCATGCCATTAAGATATCATAACATTCTTTTGTATTATTAATTGTCTGCGAAGGTTTTAGAGGTTTTTTGAAGTTCGATGATTTGCTCTTACTTCTATAACTACCAAAAAATCAGTACGAGATGGATGACTGTTTAGCATTCAAGTATGAAACTTCTCAACGGTTCGTCTTCGTCAAAATTAAGCTTATGATGACTCTGTTATCCAAATGAAGGAATGTGAGAAGAGTTAGTCGTGGAGATAAGAGAGGTACTAGGGGGTGTAGGAAGTATTTGATTTTGACCAATTTGGTCTCGTGTGCTGTTACGGGTATGAGGGCGGTTGTCACTTCCCGGCTGCCCACACCATGGAAGGGTGTTTCTTGAGGAACCTGAAAAAGAAAGATAGATTAGTGTTGGTCTTAGAGACCTGGGAGCGTGACCTCAGAGCCCAAGGGAAAACTTCTTGAGGCCGGTCACGCATGGCCTTTTTATGAATTGTTTCTTGAGTTTTAGCTCCGCTCTTGAAAGCCCTTAGTGGGCGCCCTTACGGAAATCCGTAAGGTAGGGTGAGGTGTGACATTTTTAGGGTCGACCTTTTCTAACCCTTCCCTCTTTGTGAGAAGGCAGCATCGCTTCAGATACTGGCTGTCGAGGGAAACACCTTACTGCTGTCACACCCCTCTACAGTTAGCAGTACGACTTTGCCCTCAGACCTTGGGTAGCTGTTTTTAGTCTCATCGTTCTCCGATCGACCTGCGTGGCATGGTAGTGAAATTTTCACGTCGTGCGGTAACGTCGTTATGCATTTCGGCCCAGTCCTTCTAGATTAGGAAGGACTAGTTTGTTTACCAATTACTGTTGATTACGACTGGTTCTTCATGGTCAATATCACATATGGATTATGGGGTTGTGGAGATTGTTGGGTTACTTATAAAATGATTCATGAATCAATAAATGTTAGACCACCATTAGAAACCTGTAAGCACTGGACAAACATATATTTACTTGTTGTTATTTAATGTTACCGATAAATTGATTCACATCAATGTTTGGAACTATTCACTCCGTAATTTATTTATTTCTTCATACATTTCAGGTGTGATACGATCTTTGATCAGATTTAACAATCATACTGATACATTGTTTGAATTCAATGTGACCGCATTCGATTGTCATCTTCCAGTACCGTATAGTTCTACAGTTCCAGTCACAGTCTATGTGAAAGCAGCATGTATATCACAATGGACTGGTAAATGAACTACTTCTTTTTTTGAATGAGCGTGTGTATATGTATACATTTACTCGATATTAGTTTTTATTTAAATTGCATCAGTGTGTGTATATAAAAACATTTACTGGATATTAACTTTGGAAAATAGTCATATGAAAAATTGTATTATTGCTGAAGCTTAGAAATGATTATGTGATTGGGAAAATAGGTTGATTGATGGTTATCAATGTGGAGAAAATTTGTAGCTCAGGCGGATGATGATTGTGATGGATTGTCGTTCCTCAAGATGGATGTTTTGATTGCGAAGCTTTCATCAATGTTCTTCTTCTGAACAACAACATCATCAGCAGCACAAATTTCAGGCAGAGAAGTGAAGTATTCGGGTCAAATTTGGAGAAATGCGAATACTTCACTTCTCTACCTGAAGTTTGTGCGGAAGAAGTTGTTCAGAAGAACAATGATGAAAGCTTTACAAACAAATCGTCCAGCTCAGAGAACAAAACTCCACCACACTGATTTATGTGCTGAAATGCACAGATGAAATATTTTTGCTTGTTATGAAGAGCAGATTAGAAAAATATGATTTTAGTAAATTATACTTGATCCTGGTTGTGAAGCCGTATTCAGCTAATTAGTTATTACTAATAATCAAACGCCAAGTCTATTGTCACAAATGTTTAGGTTCATTGAAGTGGCTTGACATAACACTTAGTTACGAGATAACATTAACAAGTAGTCGAAATAATTCAATAGCGGTTATAATTTTAAAAAAAAATGACTAAAAATTGAAAATAATATTTAAAAGGGTGAAATGAAAGGTTAGACATTCGCAAGCAAGACCGAAGGTCTTAGGTTCGAATCCTATGAGTACATAGAGTCGTAGATACGCACTGATGATGAGTCCTATACCAAGACGAAGTGGCCGTCTAGTGTTTCCAAGTTTCTGATAGTGGCGGTCCAAAAATGATGGATTCATGTTTTCGACGTGTGAAAACAGTGATCTTCATAACTCCTAATTGAAAAATGAATGATGACCAGTGAAATAATACTAAGATACAGGATTGGTTGTGTAAGGCAAAGTGTGCACTGCACACTTGCATGATGATTGTAACTTGGTTTTTAGTCATGTCACCTTGACATCAATAAAAGTAACTACATATGTACTGTGGACCCCAATCGACTGGTTTAAATCTAGTAGTATGGTTTTAATCAACAATTAACCAGTTTCTTTGTTTGATTGTTAGTTCTAACTTGTATTGACTGTTTGAATCTTTCCGATTGATCTTGATGTCTGCGACTAATCAGTTCATTTTGGCATATGCGCGTACTATGTAGATTGCCTCCAAATTGTTATTAAGTCACAAGCATTGTAAGCAGAGACAGATTTTGGCTAGAAGTGGAATACAGGACTCGCGCTTCGTCCTATTTGGGACTCGTTAGTCACTACAGTTGAATCAAACTTCAATCCATTGCATCGGCCAGTGGCTATCTGAAAAAAGTAATGGGGAGGTATACGTGAAGGCGTTTAAAACAAACATTACTCAGGTTCTATTCCTGACGAACTCTATGATGCAGCTATATCCAGAACGAAACGCGCATCTCAGATTCCACTGCAAGAGGCCATCCGTCACACACTGTCATTCAGTATGTATATGTGTTCAAAAATATGTACAACATCCTTCTCTTTCCTCCTTGAACTTCAGCGCAGAAAACTTTATTTGCCACATTTTATTAAATAAACCAGATCAATTATCAATCGAAAATGAGCTTGAATTGATTGGTAGTAAATTTCCCTAACTAAAATCATTAACTCATCTCTCTGAAAAAATCAGAAAACTATTTTAAATTTATCTGCAACTTTTCTAACATTACCTATAACTCCTCCCAATGACTTGAACAAGTATGAAACGATCGATCAAGGTTTTCCATGTTCGATTGACTGCCTATCACTTTTCAGAATATTTAGTGAGCGAATGCTGCTGATAGGAATGTGGTATTCTCTGAACACACTCTTATTCTCCACAAGCGTTCACAGTTATCCGTAACTGTTTAGTGTAGTTAGTACAGCTCAGCATCCCATTTGCATAACACAAATACAGTGTAAATTAAAAATTGAAATGAAATCTTTGATGAAAATCACACTTTTAAAATTCGGCATTCATCTATCGACTAAAAAAATGTAGAAACATGACTGAAAATGATGCTAAATAATACACTTATAGTTGAACACTGAAAACTTTAACAATCGCTTCAGGCGAGCAGTATTTGGCAGTAGTTATTTTCTAATCTGTTCCTGAAATCATGAATCACTCATTGTTAGACCACCATTAGAAACCCTAGAGGCACTAGACGGCCGTTTCGTCCTAGTATAGGACTCATCAGCAGCGCGCATCCACAACACCTGCTACTCACCAAAGCTTCAGAACTCAGAACCTTTTCAGCTCTATTCAGCATGATGATTCTTCCCAAAGTCTTTATATCCTCGGGTCAAGTATTCATTACCTTTAGACTAGTTTGTATCAAAAACTATCTTATCCTCTAAGAAAATTTTAAATATTGTTGTACTACAAAAGCGACAATCATTTACTAAATATTCTACACAACAACCATCTTTTGTTTTATAGATTACTTACTACTTAACGGGGAATAAAATGAAAATATATATATTCACTTCCTTAATTCAACGGCTATCTGATCTCTCTCTCTCTCTCACCTATATTACACTTGATTGATTAGGCATTTTCATTTCCTATGAACAAAATTCTACCAAGGAAAAAGACAATCATCTGTAATATGGGTGTATCACTGAATTTGCATGTGTGTATGTGTGTGTGACTTCACTGCATATCTCTAGTCCCTTTTTTAATTAAATCTAGCCAATATGTGTATTGTGATGAGTATGTTTAAAATTTGGGACTGGAACAGTGAAAAAGAAAGGTGTGTATCTTATCTATATGCATAAACAGTACATTCATATTGACAGTTGTAATTCTGATTGCAATTCCGTAAAAAAAACTAATTTCCTATAAATAATGTACATAAATGTGTCTGTTCACGTTTCGTATTTTAATTCAGACACACACACCCAATTAGTTCATCTGGATTGACTCATATTTTCAATGTTTCAATGCTCAATTGTATTTCATTTATTTCCTTTCCTATCACCTTAGATTTTAGCAATATACACACTCGTTCATTGTTTTTTGGCCACCTCACCTTTTTAGAGGCATTATAGAGAGAGATTGTGAGGTTGCATTGAAATCATGAAACGATCAATGTCAGACCGCTATTAGAAACCTGTAAACTCTGAATGGCCATTACGTCCAAGTAAGGGACTCATCAGCAGTGCGCATCCACGAGCACCACTCTCTGTAACCTTGGACTATCTGTCTCACCAGCTCAAAGGTTTCGAAGTGATGCGTTCGTGTACAAGACCTATGGTTTTTGTCTCAATTCCTGCTGGTGCGGTCGGTGCATACGCATAGTTGACGAGTCCCATACTAGGACGAGACGGACGACCAGTGCTTCTAGGTTTTTAATAGTGATATTCTAACAATGATGGATACATTAAATCAACTAATTGTTCACAATAAGTACGAGTGTATATGCACAACATTGTAAATCATAACAGAAATCCATAGAAATTATTTATTTTAAAGTTTACTTACTTTAATTAACAAACTGTGTGACTACTGTAAATGGTGCACAACAATTAGCAGTGCAAAGTCTACAATGTGTGTTTTGTCTTATTTTAAGATGACTCACCAACTAAGTGTAAATGGATCCAAATGTGTATATTCACTTTGCGACTCAAACCGATTTCTTAGCTGCTCGCCTTAATAATTACCAACTGGTTGGTTATTCGGCTAACCTACTCTACTCAATTCAGACACTTGCTGACTAATAAGACAAGAACTTTGAAATATTGAATTGCAGCATATTAAATAATCAACTAGAAATTAGCGTAGGTTAGAGAGAGTAGTTGAATAAATCTAATGTAACAAACTTTGCATAACTATGGCCTTCTTTTTCTGATTAACTTTTGTAATAATACATAAGTAACATAAACGATGCAGTCCTTTTCAATTTTTAATGTAACATAGATCAGGTAAACTGAAGGTAGACACTGTCTCCACTTTGTCGTTACTTTTTATGCTTGACAGTCCACTACATCTCTCGTTCTCTGTTTCTCTGTCTAAATAAATATCTCCATTGTATCAGTTTTAAACGTATCATATAATAAGTCTAGAACTTAAAGCACTCTGTCAGTTGTTTTGTTTATTCAAAGGTAACAATTATTTTCTCCTCATTATTATTATTATTAAAATTTTTTAAGAAATATCATGTAATCAGTTACATTTCTGTTTAACTCCATGAAATTGGAATTAATGCTCATAGTGTGGTGTGTGCTACTTATACGAACGATATAAGTAGTATAAGAAGGGAAGTGAAAGAAGAAGTCTCACGGTCAGAAGAGGAAAACGGAAAGCAAATGGAGTACCAACAGGAAGGGAAGGAAGCAACAACAGGAATGGAAGAAGGCTGGAGCATTGGAAGTCACGACTCAAAGTTGGTGTGCAAATAGAGTGTTCAATGTAATGTTTTCGTTTTTTAATTGACTAAGAGTGTAAATTTGCATAATACAATACAATCTTCCGCGCCTGCCTCAGTCTTCTCAATAGAACTGATATGCTTTTAATTTTCTAATATTTTAGGTATCCCTAAAGAAATTGCCTATTCTGCACTGTCCAATCCATATCCGATTGCATTGAATGCGAAATTTTCAATTTGTCCACAACAGTCAAACAATTATACTAGTCAACCATATATGAATGCTGATGATAATAAATCCAGCGATGCATACATGGAATATGATTATTGTCCAATTGAACAAGTGACCGTACGTGTGAAAATTTTATGGAGTAAAGAAGATATCATTGTTAATAATGATGATGATATTCGAGAAGATCAAACTGTTCAACCGTCATCGGAAACAACAACAGCGACAACAACATCTTCTTCAACAGAATGTGATTTGGATTATTATTCAATACTGGCTAATCGTAGAACATGCAGTAAGTGTCATTGTTCTCTTGTTTTGCATAGATTGCCTATCAAACGAAATGTGTAATGCATATTTTTTTGTTGTAATCAACGTTGACTACTTACACACTGTACTCACATACTATCTGAAGATCAGAAAGTCAGTGAAAATGGATGGGTCAGTCATTTTATGGGAAGTCTCCAACGATCGCGTTGATCGCTTCACCTAACTTGGGAGTGTGTGGTCAGTGAAGATGACTTCGTGTCTGGAGATTTCTCGGTTCAAATGTAGAACGCTTAGCTGACTTTTACCAACTCGGATCATTTATGCTGTGGACGAGACATCGGTCTACTAACCAGAGGATGAGTCTGCTGCGCAGCAGTTCTCTCCGTCCTTACTATACATGCGTGAAACGTGTTCACTAAGAAAACGAGGATATTCGCAGGTGACTAACATTCGGTCATCGGTGTCTTGAGAGCATTTGCTCGTATATCCTGGGACCATAAAGTAAGCAGTGTTAGTGTCAGGAAAAGGCTACTAGGTAAGGATAAGGAATCAGTTTGAAAACTAATTAAAGAAAAGCCTATCGTAAGGTTAGAAACTTTGAATGATATGGCTCAAAATCGTTTGCAACGGTGCATATGCATTTATTCTTTTTCATCTCACAAATTCTAATCTCTCGAATTCCTCATAACCGTTTTTTTCTCATTTCAAATTTATTTCACTGGATTATACTTCTTGATTACTGTGTTCCCACCCTAATCTCCTTCTTTACTGCTAATATTACTACTATTGTAGTGGTAAAATTGGAAAACCATATCGTAAATCGTTAATTTACAAAATATCGGTTCACCATATCGAACTGGACTGTTCCTGTTGCAAAACATCAATCCATTGTCACTATTCATGCGTTTCATACAAATTCCATTGTGTTCTAACTCTTCCTTTCTTGATCTTTACCCATCTTCTGCTGCCAGACATTACGTTGACACTCACGTCATATACTACTTATAAGTAGCTCGCACCACACAATCTCTACCACAATGGGATATGAATTGACATTCATGTCCTTGTGCTAATGTGGTATGACAACCATAACTGATATACGTACATAACAATCTCTACGTTGTAACTGTCTAACTCACTTCTCTGATTGATTGCTAAAAAGTGGAAAGTATGTTTTTATTCGATCTTATGACAATTGTTCGGATTGTATTCATTGATAGAGGAGAAGTTTTGTTCTGTATTGTTTCACACTAGTTTCATTAACATCAGTGAACATTGAAACAATGTAAACGCATGTTTTAATAAACTGAAATCATGCTGGTTAATGGGAATATAAAAAATGCATAAGTTTGTTTTTCAAAATTTAACTAAACTAAAACATCATAGTCTACGTAGATCATATTGAATAGAAGTTTTTAAACTTTCCTCTAGATAATATTTGACTAATTAAATATCCACGTCAAGCTTTTGTATATTTTTCTTGTGGTAAACAAAGATCATTATTGTGACCTAGTCCTAATGACATATTTCTCTCTTGCCTCTTATAAACTTGTGATACTTTTAATGCAACTGAAGTGTCCATCTTTTTATTAATGGGCAAGTGTAGTGCACAGGCAGTTTCCTTGGGATATAAAAGCTGATAAAGCCTTCTTGGATAAGCTGATTCAGGTTTTTCGTGTTTATATATTCTCATGGGCCAGGATATATATCAGAACCAATGAGGAAAAGCCATTTTAGTGAAAAACCAAGTGATAGCTACTCCTCCTGTTAAGTATACATTACATGCGCATTTGAAATGCACAAATCTGACTCAGGCACTCTCAGCATAAGGGGAAGTATAAATGCTATCCTCGTAATAGTTTTTTTCTTTTTGGACAAACATACACTATGTACACATCAGAAAGACATGGATCATATCGATATACAACTGTTCAAACACATACTTAGTTATCGTAAATTCTTCACCCTATATTCTCCTCAACGAGACAAACTTGATTTGCAGATCTTGTTTTACGATATAACCGTTAACAAGAATGATCTCTATCGATCTCTCATGCTATTTTATGATGCGTATTTCCACAGTCCCCACGTCAAGTTGTAGATCGGATTTTCCTCGGGATAGGTTAATTGTTTAAAATGGATTTTAAAAGGTGAGTATTTATATATGCTGTTTGTATTCGACCACAGATATCTTCAAAGTATCCGTCTGTTACGGCGACACCATCAAGTTATCAATTAACCTGACTAGTGATGATGTAAGATTATAGATAATCAAATTTACCATTGTATACTCAGTCACTATTTCGACGAAACTACACAGTGGCTATCATAGTGTTAAGCTTTAAGAACTGTAGAAATCAATATACAACAGTTAAATGAAACCCGTGACTTAAAGATTAAAATCATCAATCAGTCATTATTAGAACATCTTTATTCGAATTCTGGAAGCACTAGACAGCCGTTTCGTCCTGGTATGGGACTCATCAGGAGTGTGGATCCACGATTCCCGCTACTCTCAGGATTCGAACTCAGGATCTTCAGTCTTGCGCGCAAACAGCTGACCTCTGGTCATTTGTCTTCAGTAGTTACCGCCCACACCAGACAGGATTGAACTCCACTAGTCACATCTTCTCACTAAAACTGTGAGAATTTCCTCACGAAGCTACTCAGTAGTGAACAAACAAGAAACCAGTGACGCCTGATTCGATCAACATACGGCAATATTAGTCATAGCGCATTCATTCATTATGTTCTCTCAAATCCTAAACTTTATTTTTAAGTTTATTTCACTAGATTCTACTTCTTGAATAATATCTTCTAACCCTAATCTCTCCGATTACTCCTAATACTTCCACTACCTCTACTACAATGGGATTTGAATTAAACAGTTGCATATCTGTGCTAATGTAGTATGGCAACATGAACTGATGTACGTACGTACGTAGTTCTGCGTTGCTATTGATTGACTGATTGATTGGTTGAGTCGTAGCGCAGCATCAGTCAACAGTGTTTACTGAAAACATTGAATTATCAATCATGGTTCTAAAAAGCGATATAAATGATGTATTTACATGTATATATATATATGTAGATCTACTCATTTTGAGTAATGCACCTTAATATCATTGAACACATTTATACATTATAAATCATCATCATCATCATTTCTCATTTTATTTTTAAAGTTGGCTCTACTCAAACTAAAATCATTGATCTTTTACCAAATATGAATAAACAACAACATGAACAATCATTATTCAGTCGTAAAAATGATAATTTCAATTTATCATTAATTCATACAACTACTGATCAATTCAGTGCATTGTCACCATACAATGCAAACAATTATCCAACTGGTATTTTCTATTTCAATGGTTCAACACATGTGGATTTAAACAAATATCAAAAATTTCCTAAATTTCAACGATTCGATAATCAATTGTTTACAATCAATTTTTGGATGAAACATTCACCAACATTCAATAGACAATATGAACAGAATTTAATCAATGGTAGAGAAAATATTTTATGCAGTTCCGATGAATATGGTAGGTTGGGTTTTTTGTTTTGTTTTAACTGTTTGTTTGATTACTCATGGGGATTGAAACCACCGTTAATCAAGTGTAATAAGCATTTACTTGAAGACATTTAGAGTTACATGTTGAAATCATCTAGCTCACTGAATACATACAATGCTTATCGATAAAAGTGCCTGCTGGAATCTCAAGCTCCTTCACATCATTATGTCATATTCTTACATTAGAACAAGACAGTATTAAAAATAGCTTATTACAAATAAAGTATGGGCTTGTGGCAATGCACTTTGCATTAAAACGATTATACTAAATGTAATGTGTGTTTCAAGACGACTCCGTCTGGAGCGCTTCTTAGGTTACTGTCAGTTGTAAGCCACGATAAAGGAGGAAGGTTGGACATGGAGTTAGCGACCACATCCCGTCGCAAATCAACTCGCTAAAAAAAACGCCAACCAGAAAATATAGTTCAAACCATTTAAACAAAGAAAAACGGCATTGCAATGAACGTCATCCTGTGCTATGCATCCATCAACAATATCAAAGTGCCTATAACAAACTGGTCATCGGCAGCACCACATTCTCACACAAAAGCACACAGAAAGTTGCATGTGTTTCAAGATGGCTTTCAACAAAAAGTTCCTAGCCTTTCACAATCTATTCAGTGAAGAAGAAAATACTATGGAGAACAACTGGAAAGGGATCAAAGAAGCAATAAACTTTATATGTCGTGAGGTTTTGGGCCACACGAAGAACCATCACAAGGAATGGATCACTGCTGATACACTGGATGAGAGTCAAGAAAGGAGGGACAAGAAGGCAGTAATCAATATCATCCAAACAAGAGCAGAAACAGCCAAGGCACAAGCTTAATACACAGAGACAAAGGAGCACGTAAATGGGAGCATCAGAGCCGACGAACGTAAATATGTGGAAGATCTAGCAGTGACGGCGGAAATGGCTGCAAGAGAAGGAAACTTGAGACACTTTTATGATACAACAAAATGACTTCCTGGAAAATATCGTAAACCAAAACGACTAGTGAAAAGGAAGGAAAGTAAAGTAATCATCGATATGGAAGAACAGCGAAACAGGCGAGTAGAGCACTTTAAGGAACTTTCGAATCGGCTAGCCCCACTGAACCCACCCAACATTGAGGCCAGCAAACACCGACATCCTCAATCTTGGCCCACTAACAACTGAAGTTATCAGCTTGACCATCAAACAAACCAACTGTGGCAAAGCAGGAGGATCAGAAAGCCTATGAGCTGAGGCATTGAAACCAAATGTAGCAGTAACTGCTTTTCCTACTTGTTGGGATAATTAAGATCATTAAGTCATACTGCATATCGCCCTACAATTTTTGACAATAAAATTCGATATTTCTTGATAAACACTGCAACATTTCAAAAATATTTATATTTGAATTCAAACCGCACTGTGAAATATCATCCGTCTGAAAATAATCGCAATAGGATGAAAAACATTTTGACATTTTTAGGCAACTTTTTACGATGTAAAAATATCCTTTTATTCAGTCCTCTAGCGATAACATTATTCGTAAAATGAAGCACCTTATTCATGTATGTATTAGTTGAAATCTAACTTAGGAATATTCATTCTAAAAACTATTTCGCTTTAAAATGATGTCACTCATCAGTTAATTTTTACAACGCAACAGGCATCAAGCGGATTTGTGGATTGACTGTAAAGTAGATGATGAAGTTGTTCATAATGTTTTCAATGTTCAGTAATAAGTGTATTGTTTAGCAACACTTTCAGTCCTTTATTCTACATCGTTTTCAGTTGATAAATGAATGTCACATTTTAAAAGTATGATTTTCATCAAGGATTTCATTTCGATCTCTAATTTACACTGTATTTGTGTTTTACAAGTGGGATGTCAAGCTATGTTAACTACACCAAACAGTTACGGATAGCTGCGAACGCTTGATGAGAATAAGAATTGGTTCAGAGAATATCATACTCCTTACTAACTTACTTACGCCTGTTACCCCCAATGGAGCATAGGCCACCCACCAGTTTTCTCCAACCAACTCTGTCCTCGGCTTCCCTCTCCAGTTCTGTCCAATGTTTGTTCACTCCGCTCATATCTTTCTCTATTTCTCGGCGTAATGTGTTCCTTGACCTTCCTCTTTTCCTTTTGCCTTGAGGGTTCCATGTGAGGGCTTGTCTCGTGACGCATTTAGATGCTATTCGTAGTGTGTGTCCTATCCACTTCCACCGCTTCTTCCTGATTTCCTCATCCACTGGAATCTGTCTGGTTTGTTCTCTCCCACAGTACGTATGCAATAGTCACTCATTAAATAACCGAAATGAAAACTGACCAAAACGTAGCGGATCTAATCGAACAAAATGAAAAAACATTGAAACCATTTACTCATACTACTTGAAATCACGATGTGAAGTTTACTCAAAAAGTCACTAATTCAAAAATTTCAAACATACATATAATTTCATTTTGCTATTGAATCAATTACTTGTAGCCATGGTATAATTTGATTGTTTATTATTATTATTTTTTTTTCTGAATTCAAGAAAAGAATCGACATCATTTCGCTGTGTTTCTACACAATTGTAAACTTGTTGTATTGGTACGTCGTGAACCACCGACCAATGAATCATCATCTACCATAGCTTCGGATTCATCGCAACTACTCCCCTCTCAATGGCGTTTTGATGTTGATGAAGTATGCGATTCCAATTGGCATCATTATTCATTGACTTATCGTCCACCAGAAATGACTACTACTATAACAAATAGACAAAGCAACAATACATCCACATTCAAATTAGAAAATGATATTGAGGTTAGTTAGTTTAGTGTGATCAATTTACCCGTCAAAAAGTTGATTTCAAAATTAATGGTGTCTGTATTATGATAAAATGTTTGTCATATTTACAAAGCTATACAGCTGTGTTATCATTGCTTTCCAGCTGTTATGCACTTAGGTTTGTTAATGAATTGATACTCTTCCATTCAGAATTATGTCTAACTGGTCGATATTAATTGAACAGCACTCCTTATAAGAAGACCAAACACCTAATGAATTATTACTTATGGAGATTGTTGTTTTTCATTGAAATCTTGAATCAACCATTGTTGGACCACCATTAGAAACCTGGAAGCATTGGATGGACCTTTCGTGAGGTTGGTTGAGGTTGCACAATACCTTGGATTGATCAGTGCTAGAAATTAACTGCCGTAGGATAGTGTGGCTCAGTGGACCGGAGGTGATGCGTTCGCACGTGAGACCGAAGGTCCTGGGTACGATTCACGTGAGCGGGGATCGTGGACTCCCTCTGTAAATGATGAGTCCCATACTTCGACGAAACGGCCGTTCAGTTCTAATGGTGGTCTAATAATGATCGAATCATTACTTAAATGAAATTTAACATACGTTTTTTTTCATTTTATGAGATGATTTATATCCAAAACAATATGTCATCATTGTCTAATTGAACGTAAAACAGTGACGTCGAATTCCTTTGATATATTTAAACAAAATCCACATTTTTTTGTTATAGGTAGTTATGACGACTATTAAGTTTCATTGAAATCATGTGGGACTCTCCAGCCATGAGCATCCATCCATCAAATTCGGGACCTTCAACCTCACGCACAACCGCTTCATAGCATTCGACGGTGTAAATGTCTAACTCTAATCATTCCTTGATATTGTGCAACCTCACCCGTTGACTTCGTCAGGTAACCGTCTACTCCAGACAGTGTTGAACTCCTCTGGTCACTGCTTCTCGCTAGAACTCCGGGAATTCCCTCGTGAAGCTAGTTACTAGTGAGCACAGGGTTTCAATGGAACTCATTAATCTTCACAACTGTACGGTGAAACTTACAGTTAATTTTGATTTGTTCCGTATATCAACGATGAATAGACGGAGTTGACTTTAATATAAAATTCATAGTATTTCTTGTACCAGTAGCATTATTGCTGTCTTGTAGTGATCCTAATATCTTAATTTATAAATTAAAGAAATTGCTGAATTTCATAATTTACATTACGAATCGACTTTGATAGACACTACCATTTTTAAAACCAGGTAGTGTAAATGTATTGTAACACGCAGTTTTCCACCTATGCACTCACATAACTTATTGATCTTGCCTCACTGTAACTCACTCAGTCACTGAATTACCTATGTTTATCCGACGTTGTGTTTGTGTATGTGTGACGGTTGAACTTTCTGTCATCAACATCGATCTGTCTGTTGTCTGATTGGTTGTAAAAACGCAGTCAATCAATGATTTACTGGTTATTCATGTACACATCGATAAGGACATTCCATGAACCCACCACACGTTCTTTTCATATTTTCAATCTAACTGACAGCCTGAGGTAATCTGTGTTGAGTTAAATTGGCTCCTAATGAAAAATAATCTCAACTGAACTTGTACTTGGTTTTTGTTATTATTTCTGAATGGGAATAAATTTGACCGGGCGAATTCTGTGCATTATCATGACAATGAATGCAATATCACATAAGGTTGATAACATGTGAAATCAGTAAAAGGGTAACCTACACACATCTGCTCCCTAGTGTGATTTATATTGGAGTTTTAATATGCAGTCAAGAACCATGAAGTTCAAATGCAATTAACGTCAGATGGTTAGCCACCAATAGTATTCAAAAGCAATTGAAAATAAACCACGAATCGATTAGACTCAGAAATATAAACCCTTGGATACTGATTCAATGGCCTAAATATTAAACTCTCGCCATGGAATCTGATTTCATGAGTTCAATCCATAATAGGGTCGTACTTGTGCACCACTAAAGATTGCCATGTTAGGATAAAATATCAAATAAAATATCGTACTTTGAAACTTTACGATCAGTATCCTTGATCCTGAGTTTGCGTTAGACTCCACTATTTATGAACCGTTAAATATGCTATGAAATAAATTTCCCCTTCAGTTTAAGTATATTTATATTTAGCCGAACCCTATTTGTGCGACTGCGGTAATAAGAAGCCAAATACAGTTTTGCGTACGAATTAATTTTATTCAGTCGTTCGCACAGATAAACATAAGAATACAAGGCGTGAAAGCGAAGCGAAGATGAGCGAGCCAACTCTGCATAATGAGGTACGACTAAGCACTTATAATCAGACAAAAACAAACCGGACATGTGATAAGCTAAGTAGGTGTGCACACACTTACTCGAATAACAATGACTAAAAGATATGAGCAGATGATTGACAAGGTCAAAAGGCGATTGAATAATAAAAACTCGGGAAGAATGGATCAATGAATTTGTTCGAAGGTGTGGGACAAGCCCTATGGGTTCGATATAATTCCCTGGTCTATGTTTTCAAATGAAATCAGTTCTCATTATTTGGTTTAAATATAATCTAACGCCATCAATGATAACTACCTCGCTAGGTCTAAATAAATTGATTTGAAATCATTCGAACTAAATTCAGCAGGAGAAACTAATCAACAATGAATACAAGATCATGATTCATCAATAACCATGGTTTCAAAAATGTGTAACTTAACAATCTTCACAACCCCGTAATGCAAATTACATGTGCTCACTAGTGACTATCTTCGTAAGGAATCTTCTCCGAGTTCTAGTGGGAAGACGTGACCAGTGAAGTTCAACCTGTTCGGGTGTAGACAGTAACTACCGAAGACTGTGTATGAGGTTGCGCAACTCCGTGAATTTGATCAAGTTAGACATTAACACCGTTAGATACCGGCTCAGTGGTCTATCGGTTAGGGCGTTCGCGCACAATACCGAAGGTCCTGGATTCGAATCCTGCGGGATGCAGGTGTCGTGGATGCGCACTGCTGAGGAGTCCCATACCAGGACGAAACGGTCGTCCAGTGCTTCCAGGCTTCTAATGGTGGTCTAACATTGATCGGTTCATGGTTTCAAAAATGTGTAACTCAACAATCTTCACAACCACGTAATGCAAATAATATTTTTGGAGGAATTTGTTTGTTATAAACTTTCCTCACCACAATAACGGTGTTTCTAAATTGGTCCTACAACATGATCCTAATTATTTCCAAATATTTACTAACTGTAATATCAGTTTTTTGATAATAATTGTCATTCTGTCAGAATGATAAAAGTTTTTCTAACCTCTTCATTGATTGTCTTGACAATATACTGATTGAATGAATGATTAAGTTGAAACTTTACAACAAGGATTGTAATTACACGTTTAAAAAGTGGTACTTTTTTCTTTTGCTAATTTCCTCTAAGTTCGATCAGTAATTAAGTCAGTGATTTCATAAACCAATGTCATTTGCTGCTTAGTATTCTTCCAACCCACTTCTCTACACCAACAAACATATCATGACAAAGTGGGAAATGGTTGAGTAGATATAACACAAGTCCCAATTATCTTACTCGATTGAGTAGGTTCACAAACTCAATTATCGATTTTGGTTATTTTACTAGTAACCTGGATCTAACTTCAACATTACTCACTCAATCGTTCCACGATACCGGGGACCGTAGGAAGGCCTTAAATAAATGTATGATCAACTTCTTTTAGTCTAGGCATTTCTCCTTTCTCCGATATAAGGAATGTCACTGCATGGTCTACTCTTGTCTTGAATAAAAGAAACTTTCTTGTCCACAAGTGATCCAGCTTGATAAAATTGAATCGACTCTTCTGAACCCATGTTGATGTTTTTTTACCAGACACCTGAGCTGTCATCAAAGAAGACATTATCATTTGCAATTCCAAAGTGGATGAGCAAGGCCATGACACAAACAGTGACGTTCCAGAGCCTCCGGTCAACGGAGCATTATTTCGGTGAATAAGATTTCATTCAAGTGTTGATGTGTGTTTCTGTGTGTTAAAACCTGTTGACAGTAACAGGTTTTAGTCAATACATCCCTCCTTTATGTCTTAAAATGGCTTGGTCTTTACAAATCTGCTGTTCCTGAGCCGCATTTAGTCTTAACTGATTATAATGGCCAATATTTTGACACAGAAAACGGTTTTTGATCCTCTTGCATAAATTGAAAACGATCATCAATTGAGAGCGGTCAGATCACACTCTGCTTATGGAATTCAGCTAGTGTTTCAGTCAACCTAATCGCTGAACACTCAAAATCACTGTTCGTAAAGACATGTGAAATTGATCCATCACATGACGTGTTGTTTTCATGTATAGAAAGTGAAAAACTGTTGGTGTTTATGATTACCATAATATTTTTTATTTGTTTTTCATCTAGTTACAACTATATTTGGACGGACAATTAGTACCGAATACTCCGGAACTAGTGAAAATTGCAGAAAATATGCCTATGGTACATTTATCAGCTAGAAATCATGAATTAGTTCGTACTTCAGTTGGTGCTTGTTGGCATGGACGTAGTACCCAGTTTGTTCAACATTTTATGGTGAATATTCAAGTTATTTATTATCGATATTGTGTTTTTTTAAATCCACCTTGTTTCGTTTCATTATAAGTAAACCTTTTCGATTCAGTCTGTTGATGATGACCAACTGTGTAAGACTTGGGATAATTGCGCATCAACCCCAACTTCCTACATATTCTATTAACGTAATACGAATAAAATTCACATAGTCATTCATTCCCTTTAAAACGTAACTCAGATGTCCTAAATAGCAGGTTAAGGAAGAACATTATACATATATATATATATATATATATATATATATATATATATATATAAAATCACTCGTTCTAGATTTATGGACATTCGATATCACTGAAATGGTTAGCGCTTGGCACAGAAAATTTGAATGTCACTGTAATTTCATCCGCCTTATTGTTATCACTGTTACTTGTTGGTGTAAGCAAGGGGGCATTGTTCAGAAGATCAATATCACGTAGAATAACAACATCACTCAAATGTTGTTTTATGCCCAAGTCAAAATTCTTTATCCAATTAAGTTGTCACGAGAGCCTGATTAATGCAGCAGCTATTATACACGCATAAGTGTCTTTGTAGATTTGAATTAACTTGAAAGTTATTTGCATCAGACATTTAAAAAATAAGGTCTGTTAACTATTGAAAATCAACGGACTACGGATTTCTGTTCTATACCGGCTTCGAACACTTTGGTTATAATACACAGTCATACGATGAAACACATGTAAAACAACCTGAAAAGTTCAAGTCTTTTATGGTAAATAGGTAATACTTGCTCAAAAGGTTCGTGTACAGTCATAGTTATGATAAAACATTACTTTTAAATAATTGAACATTAGCTAAGTTAAATGTCTTGTTGTAGGTCACTCACTGCTCGTGAACCAATAGAATAGCCGTTCGACTATCACCATGTTTATCGATCAACAGAAGTGTATATTATTATTATTATTATTATTATTATTATTATTATTATTATTATTATTAAAATGTCATTAATGAACACTGTTTACTTTTCTTCATCATTGAAAATATTTAAACAAGGGTTATCTTGCTGGTTTAACATTTACAAATGGCTATATTCAATCGGATGAAGAATCTCTATGTCTGACCAATTGTGAACCACGTTTAATTATCAATGATCCTACATCATTCGATGCAAACACTGATCGTTTCGATGCAACTAATATTCGTAATTCTCATCTAAATAGTATTATTATTCAAGCTAAAAGTTTAAATGAATTAACAACTATTCTAAGAAAGGTAACATTTCACAATCCAAGATTACAATATAAGCCAAGATATCGGCCGGAACCAGTGGCTATACAATTAAATACCATGTTTAAGTAAGTAATAATAATACTTTACTTTTTTCTCTGAACCGGATAGTTTAATTGTAAAATTCTACTGTCTGTTGGAACAACACCAGTAAAAACGCCAGTTAGAATTGAGACGAACTCGTCGATAAAAGATATTGTATCGATCGTTCATTTTCATCGAAATCACGAACCAGTCAAAGTTCGGCAAACATTTCAAATTGGGAAGCGCTGTATGGCTATTTCCTCCAATTATAAAGTCGAGCATTGGATGCAGTTGCACTTGTCTTGAGGTTAGGCGGTTAGCCATATGAGTAGGAAATGGCTGCCCAGCGCTTTCAGGTTTCTAATAATTGTTCGAATCTAATCGGTTTGTAATTTCAATAAATTGAGATATTCGAACTTCTATGCATATACCAGACAGCCTACCCCATCGACTATGGTCGTGATTGGCCATTAACGGACCTTCGTCCTATCGTTCGCTGAAGATGAAATTTGATTTTGTTTCCCATCTGATCCTCCCTCACATATACTTATTGATGATTTTCCCAATTAGCTAATAAACTGAGTCAGTTAAGCTTAGAACTAAATTTCTAATAATTCTGCCCTATCGAAAATTTCAACTTTTCCCTTAATCAGAGACATATATCGACATGCATTGATGGAAGGCAGAAGAGATGCATTATGTAGTTTGACTGACAACTAACTAGTGTGATGAGATGATGCAGATGAAAAAGGGGCCGACTTTGTTCAGTATATAGTGTTTCTCGTAGTAAGGCAATTCAATTTACGTCATATGACCACGAATCAGTCTGAATATATTTATATATTGAGCTAATCAACGAATAGCCAAATATGCAGGCTTTTTGATGATTATCATAAATGTCCTTCAAAAGTGAATGCAAATCATAGAAATCTGAAATATAATATTCAATATTTTAGTTCATGTTACTTTGTTTTAACTTATTTGTAGTTATGCAACAGACTGTGAAATACCTTCAACATTTAATCAAGTCATTTTAATCAGTCCATTACCTCCAACTAAACAAACATTAATTTCATTGGATCGATTCAATTCAAATAATCATACAGATCAACAGCTTGATGATAATCATGACCATCATTATCAGCCACCAAGTCATCAATATCAACAAACAGAGTTTCATCAGCCGACACAACAACCACAACAACATCAACAACAACAGTTCCATCTGAATGAACAGAAACATGAACAGCTTCCATCGGAGAGATTGTCTACCACTGTGGACCTGTCAAGCTCCACTGATCAAAACCAGTCATTTGACAAAAAATCGATCACATCACCACCAATCAATGCATTAGCCTTATTCAATGCCCCACAATATGATCATGTCAATAAGACATTCACATTGAACAAGATCACATTCAATAATTTATCTACTGGAGTTTATCTATTTCCATACATAACAATCATGTGGAATAATACTTCATCGGAATTGTTAACTTTACATGGTTCAAGTAAGAAGGGCTTTACTTTCTTTGAGAGATAAATTATTTTGAACATGTTATATGCCTAAGATTGAATAGCGCCACTGTGTCGGAACTCATATCATAGATTCTCATTTCATCAGTTAACATAATTCAAAATGTATAATTTAGTTTATAGCTATGGAGGAAATACATTTAGGCATTCTTCTTCATTCAAACTGCCTTTGATACGTGTAGAGTTTGATCGGATAAGAAATTACAAACGTTCATGGTTGACAACATTAAAATTGTGTACTGTTTATATTTATCACTATTTTTAATACATGTCAGTTATTCTACTTACTACTGCTAACGTATACACTTCTTAAAATGATCGATCATTCCTAACGTGGACATCATGAATCGATCATTGTTAGACCACACCATTAGAAACCTGGAAGCATTGGACAACAGTCTTGTCTTCCTATGGCGCTACACATCTGCAGTGTGCATCCATGACTCCCGCCTGCAAGAGTGGGGCCCAGGACCTTTGACCTCTGAACCACCATCCAAAGGTAATAACGTCTTACTTTGATCAGTCCAAGACATTGCGAAACCTCACCTATTGTATTTGGTAGGTAAGTGCCTACACCCGACAGGGTTGAACTTCACTGATCACCACTTCTTATGAGAACTCCGAAAATTTCCTCACGAAGCAATTCACTGTTGAGCAAGGGTCGTGTATGCATACTGGTGATGAGTATTCCCATACTAGGACAAAACGCATTCATACTCAAAACCAAAAGTCCTCGGTTCGATTCTTGCGAATAGTGGGATTCGTGAATGCGCACTGACGATGAGTAGTCCCCTACCAGGACAAAACTCCCGTCCAGTGCTTCCATGTTTCTAATGCTGATCTAATAATAATCGACTTATGATTTCAAAATAAATTAACATTCTCTGCAAACCTATCATTGAAAATGAACAAATGTAGAAAACTGTCTCTTATAAGTTTTCAGATTCATCCAGGGTACTTACTTGTCGTGTTTAAACCATAAGACTTTATGCCTGGTCATTTTTATCTCGAATTGTAGAACATCACTAAAAAACAAAGCTTAACTTCTTGTAGTTCGCAGAAGTCTTCCACTTGTAAAGCTTGAGCAGAACAGCAGATATTTGTAGGAGGAATTTTTTCAAGATCTTTACTTCGTTGTTTGTCATTCTTCTCACATTAAATGCGCATCTCTGCTACAAATGAATTAATTTTCAAATCAATCAATAAATAATTTGAAACTATTTATCTTTCAATAAACCTTCCTAGAAAAAAAAGCCTATTTCATCATGACAGATAAATTGGAAAGATCATCCCAAGCACATCTTGACAGCCGCACACCACCAACTGCCGCTTTAAAAAACCATCAACTTCCTGTCAATTGGTTGTTGTCAGTTATGAGAAATCAATTCATATTGTCGCACAAAAACACACGCAGAGATTTGTATGCTACACACGCATATGTGTGTGTGCATTTATCTTCAACCCTACTTGTTGTCAGTTAAAGTAGGAGGCCTATTTGAATGTCCTATTTTGAGTTCAGTATTATTACTCCTGTGTTTTTGTTTTTTTTTACCTACATACAAACGGATTCAGTAGTAAGATGACAATCATTTGTAAAAAACAATACATCATATAAACAGAATGAAAACAAGAATTTGTAATTCATTAATAGACAGCAATCTCTTTTTCACTACGAATCAATATATATATATATATATATTACTTACTTACTTACTTACGCCTGTTACCCCCAATGGAGCATAGACCGCCCACCAGTTTTCTCCAAGCAACTCTGTTCTGGGCTTCCCTCTCCAGTTGTGTCCAATGTTTGTTCATTCCTCTCATATCTTTCTCTATTTTTCGGCGTAGTGTGTTCTTTGGCTCTTCTCTTTTCCTTTTGCCTTGAGGGTTCCATGTGAGAGCTTGTCTCGTGACGCAGTTAGGTGCTTTCCGCAATGTGTGTCCTATCCACTTCCACCACTTCTTCCTGATTTCCTCCTCCACTGGAATCTGTCTGGTTTGTTCTCTCCCACAGTTCGTTGTTGCTGATGGTGTCTGGCCAACGACTCTGAAGTATTTTGCCTAGACAACTGTTAATAAACACTTGTATTTTCTGGATGACGGCTTTGGTAGTTCTCCAAGTTTCCGCTCCATACAGTCGAAATATCTAGACATTTGTATTGAAAATCCTGATTTTGGTTTTGGTTGAAAGTTGTTTTGATTTCCAGATATTCTTTAACTGTAGAAATGCAGCCCTTGCTTTGTCAATCCGAGCACTCACATCTGCATCGGATCCACCTATATAAATATATATATATATATATATATATATATATATATATATATATATATATATATATATTGTGGTGGTGTTTCGTTCTGTGTGTTGGATGTTTTGGTTGTGGAGCTTTCATTATTGTTCTTCTGAATTACATTATCAGCAGCACAAACCTCAGTTAGAAGTGAAGTATTCGAATTTCTCCACGTTTAACCCGTAACTTGTTGTTCTGTTAACCTCGCTCGGTGTTGAACAAGCTACGCGTCAAACGTGGTAAAATTCGAATTCTTCACTTTTAACTGAAGTTTGTGTTCAAGCTGTTCTCTATGTTAATAAGCTTCATATGCTTTGACTGAATAATCATAACAAGAATTAAACTAAATGGAGATCTATTGCGCAGATTTTGATTAATAATGTGATTGTACCTAACTATATATATACGTGCATTTCATGAACAAATTAGTTGTTTTATGTCAATCCATATCAACTAGTTGAGATAATCACTGAAAATCAAGGACAGCATCGGACAATTGTTTGACGCTAATCGACAGTGTGTAAGCATTCACGGATTTTCAGCTCTTGTGACATGCTCCACTAGCTGAGAGTAGCGAGGATCCGCTATGCTCCCTAAAATGCCCTAATACGGACTTGTGTGTATAGCTTATTCTTGGGAATAAGCCTACTCATAGCCTTTTACTGGAAAATAATGTTGTTTACTAGTTGAGTGGACGAAACTGCGAACTTCTCAACTGGACCTTAGACCGGGTTCATTGATACAGAGAGGATCCGCCCCGGGGGAGTTGGAAAAACCCTAATCTCAAACAAATGGTGCACGTAGGTTCCATGATCTGGAGGGAGAAAGTGGCGTATGGACCTACTGTCAATCACCAGCTATCATAGGATTGTAACTCTTTAAGTTGCCCTAGTGCCTTGCAGATTGGACTTGTAGGTTAAAAGCTTAGAAAGTGACTCTTCTAATTAAAAAGTTTTGTAAATTGTTGAAACTAGTGGATCAATTTTCTTGAAGTTATTTAAGGATTGAAATAACTGATATTGTTATGGTGACTAGACTGAGATTGCTTACGATATCGAATAGATTTTTAATAAAATTTATCACAATTTCGGATATTTGCTAAGGTTTAAATCAAGGACAGGTATTTCGTCCTGTTTGAGACTCGTCAGCCGGATATTCCTGCCTATCAAAGTTGAGACTCACATTGAGCATCTGTCACTTTTAAAGCTGAACCCATTATACATTGGACTTCTGAGTGCAAATAGTTACTGGCTTGTTGAAAATATCTGTGTAATTTTCGTTTGTAAAAGTTTATATTTAAATTCAGTGGATTTGGTTATCCGTCTGAGTTCAGTAGGTGTAATCGATAATACATCTGCAGTCAAACCTATCTGTTATGTTATAGACTGTCACGTTGAATATCACTGCTGGAATCCATGTACGTTCACTCAAGGAATCCTAAATAGGACGAAATGCCAGTCAGACAGACAGCACGTTTTATAAAATCTTGTGTCTAAGTGACAGAATCGATGTGGTTCAGTCAAGTCACATATATATGCCAATAGAAACTGATCAGTTAAACTCGTCAAAATAATTAACAACTGAGAAATACGAACTCTCTCTCTCTCATAAAGAAAATCACAGAACTTGTCAAAATCCGATTATGTATTCACGTGTCAATAGTCAAACGTTTTTTCTGAATTTTCATGCATTGTTGAAATCTGCACTACAAACTGAACCGAAACTACACAAGCAATAATCTTTCCTTATTAGTTAATTTTATGGTCACTTTTTAACAGGGAATGTGATGAATGTCAAGACGGATGTAAATTGACTGTTAAACCTTGTGTGTTTTTTCTTTTTATCCCATATTTTATTCAAAGATTAATGTCCTTGATAAGACAGATTTTTTTTTTCAGATCGGCGCCCATCTTCAACTACTACTTCCTTACCTATTTTCTGTATAGAACTGACGTAAAGTTTTTATTTTTTTTTCATTTCAAAATCATATGATTTAAATTCTACGCTCTTTAATAAAACTGTACTTTATTAATTATTTAAACAAAAAATTTCACTATATTTTTAGTTTCCGATGTGACACAATCCATTTCTTCATGTACAATTGACTTGTGCAAAAGTAGTGATCAATTTTTCAATGCTGGTGAGAATACATTGTCCATCACGGAATTTCTCTTTTTAAATCCGGATTATATCAAAAATGGTATCAAAGCATTTCAACGTTCCAACGGATTTATTATTCAAGGGACATCCGGTGTATTAAGTTATATGAATGCATTGAAACATGTTCAATGGTTAGTTCATGATGAACAAATGAATTTAAGTAGACGTTGTTTTAATTTGTCCTGTGAGGCGATGATTCAAATCTTTGAAAATGATAAGTTCATCATGAAAAAAATCAATAGCAATGCTATTCAATCTGAAGTAAGATTCATTTTTTTTAAATGCTTACTAATTATTATACTCAAGATGTATTCAAATTATCTTGCTCACTTTTTTTCGGTTTGAACAATAATTTAATTTCCTGAATTCAAATAGCTATTTTTTTCAAGTATTACTATACAACTAATTATTATGATACAGTTTTATTAGAATTCATTATTAGTAGACCACCATTAGAAACCTGAAGATACTGGACGGCCATTCCATTCTGGGATTGAACTCATCAACAGTGCGTATCCACAACTCCCTCTCTGAGGGAAACAAACCCAGGACCTTTGTTTCGGAGCAGGTTGCACAGGAAGTTCAGCATTCGCGCACGAGACCGAAGGTCTTGTGTTTAATTTTTGCGAGCGGGAGTCTTTGGATGCTTACTGGTGATGAGTTCCATGCCAGGAATTGACCACCGTGCAATGCTTTCAGGTTTCTAACAATGATCTATCAATGATCGATTCGTGATTTCAATGTAAAATATTTGTTCGGTGATTGCATAATCACTAATCTTGTTACTTATTTTAACGTATTTTGGTAGGAAATTTTCGGAATATTTGCTTATATAGGAATTTAGAATAATATATTTTCTTTCTGTACCTCCATACTAATCTTAGAAGAGATGCTTCTTTTCGTACCATGAGTTCGTTGTTTTCCGTTCAAGGTTCAGGCGTATACGATATCTCTGGTGATGAAGGAGGAGGTTAAAAGTGACTCTTAAATGTCTATCTACACGATTTATCGTGCACTCATACTAAGGGATACTTGTTTATTAGGGAAATCTTTTTTTTCTCAAACCGAAAATATCACAATTAGTATTTCATTCAATGTTCAATAATGTGGAATACAATGGTTAAGCCTGCACGTAAGCACGTCAACTTGACATACTTGAACTATTACGAGTTTACCTTAGTAGGAAAACGAGGATCGAGGATCCGGAGACACGACATGCTATTCAAATCCGATCATCCTAACCCCCATATTGAGTGAAAATACGAAGACAAGACTGGATATGAAGTAGAACCTGTATTCTACAAGCATTCAGAAAGTACGAAGTCCGAATCCAGGAGAGAATCAGGATCTCGGACTACGGATCCGGGTCCTGGTCCTGGTCGTGGTCATAAAACGTTACACGTAATGCGTATTTATACATTCTGGTCGAATAGGAAACAGCATCGAATTCGGTGACATTGACAGTTAAGACGACCAATAAGAAGCAACATTTGAAGTGATATTGATAGTCAGGACAACCAATAAGAAACAACATTGGAACACGTGCAAGTGATATCAATAGGAATTGACCAATAATTCTCTTAGGATATTGGATGAATATCCTAACAACAGTCATCGTTGATATTATCCTGATTGATGGTATATTATTAAGAGGCATTTATTGACTGATTGTATACTTCAAATTGAATAAATTGCATTGTTTTTATTTTGTACTTTCTACTTGTACTTCTTTTAGTTAAATTCCCCTGAGATAAATAAATGGAAATTAGAATTTATCTGTTAAAATTAATTAATTCCGGCATAAAAATCACATGAAATTCATCATTTGTCAATAAATAAATTCAATTTTCTATTTTCTCTCTCCCTGAATATGTTAATCACATTGTACAATATAATGCTGTGAAATAGCGGATGCTTAGTGCACACATAGAATAAGTATGGCAATCGTCCTGTTTACCATTTATTCTATTCTTATTGGACCGAATTCGAATCACGTGAACTGTAGTTATAAGATACAAACATATGTTTGCTTAGTAAGATCACTTAATTTGATTTACATCAAGTGTTGTTGTTGTCATCATCGTACCGTATTCAACTGTGATTGATGTGTTATTCTTTTTCTTCCCGGTAAATTATCCATACTCGTAATAGCACACGAGACCAAACTAGTCAGAATCAAACCAACCCCCCCTTATACTTTTAAATAACTCTCTTACCTCCATGACCAAACATTCTCACATTCCTTTATCACCTCGCGCCCCCTAACGCGAACAATTCGAGTAGGCGAAACGTTATTCCTGGTCTCCTGAACCCCTCTGCTATAAATTACCTATTGGAGATTTTTTAATGTTCGGATTTGATACCAAATAAGACAGCAGGCTTCCTTAGCTAGGGCTTTAGAATTTCGTGATATTGATATTTGCTGGCTGCCTCTCCAGAACGTGCACACACGATGTGAGTAGAATCAGTAATTTAACTTCACCTTTACCAAATAAAGAACCGTCCCGACTGAAATCGTCCATAGATGATAACAAATGCTCTTATTTAACCCAATTTTTACCTCATTGGTCATCAAACCATACTTGTTTGTCGGACTAAGTTACTTAATTGTGGTAAGTGAAAAATATTCCTAGTTGGGCGCTGCCCGACAATCTGTAAGCAAACCTTTTAAGAGAAAAGGTGAGCGGTCAGGTTTTTTTAATCAGTCACAATGGTGCAGATCTATTCCCTCTTTATTTTCTCCTTATTATATATTCAGTTTTAATTTCGCGCTGATACTTTTACTACTGTGATATTTGTCTTTATAATTTCATCTGACTATATTATGAAATGGTGTGTTCCTGCCATACAAATATGTCAGTTTCTGCGTTGCTTACAACTGGACAACTTGATTGTTTGGTTGGTGTATGCATGAATTTTTTAATCGAATAACAGATGTTATTATTCGCTAGCTTAAATTATTTCGTACAATACACCTGTTCGTAGTATGATTATCAATATTTAGTGTATGAAAGTTGTGTTTTTGGACATCATTATTAGCACTCATTTGAAAAAATGAAAATTTCTCCTTTCCGCTATCAGAAGAAGATACAGCAGTATAAAATCGAATAATTTCCAACAAACAATCAGTTAGGTGATGCAAATTTCAGGCAAATACAATCGATCATGACATTGGATTAATCCATAGTGGCAACACAATTGCCGATTAAAACAGCCAAACACACTCTTACAAAAGTTGTTTTGACTACTAGGAAGTTAATGCGATCTTTATGCATAGACAACGAGAACACTGTAGAAAAATTCCCTAAAGCTGTAAGTATTGTTGACTTGGTGATCAGCCACAGTACTATATACTGGGTTTTCAGAAATTTTCATTGGCTAGAATTTTATTCAATGATCACTAATTATTTGACTGTTCGGAAATTGTCAGTTTGTATATTTAAAACAATACCAAGTTCAATGTGTGATGAGTTTTCACAGGGTGTTCAAAATTCAATCTAGATAGATGGACAGAGCCTGGTACAAACAATCCTCGGATCTACCATACTTGATAAGCACAATGACATGAAAATAACAAAAAACAATCAAAATAATGTAATAAGACTGATAAAAAGACAAAGCACGTTTGCAAATCTGATCAGTCAGTCAGTTGCAACGTAGAACTTCGTACGTAAGTACATCAGTTCATGTCGCCATACAACATCAGCACAGAGATGTAATCGTCAATTCAAATCCAATAGAAGAAGTGGTAGTAAAGGTATTAGAAGTAATCGAAGAGGTTAAGATGAGAAGATATTATTGAAGAAGTATCATTAAATGAGAAAAGTTTAGAAAGTCAAAACTAGAGTTGTTGAAGAATCCAGAAGATTAGGATTTGAGAGAACACAAAGAATAAATGCACCGGCGCCATTGCGAACGATTTTGAGCCATGTCATTCAAGGTCTCTAACCATCGATTATTATCATCTCGCGGACCCCAACCAGGTAGTCGACAATTACCGACATGGCTCAGTCCACTCGTCAATGACTTCATAGATTTCTGCCATGTTTTGGTTTGGCCGCCCCTAACTTTCTTCCAACCTACTCCTACACTAAAAAACAGCTCGACGAGGCAGACGGTGGTTGAGCATACGCAACACATGTCCCAACCACCTCAACTGATGGAGTTTCACCACTTCATCTATTGATCTGCCATTTTTACCTAGCACCCGATTCCTAATAACAGCGTTGCTCACTCGGGTGTCCCAGGATATATGAGCAATGCTTCTAAGACACCTATGATCGAAAACTAGTAGTAACCTACGAATATCTTCTACTCTCACTGGTCATGTTTCACAGCCATAAAGTAAGACGGAGCGAACCACTGCGCAGTACACTCGTCCTTTATTCAGCAAACGGATATCTCGCCTACGCCATAAGTGACGCAGGTTGGCAAAAGCCAATTGAGGTCTCTGTATTTGTGATGAGATTTCGTCAGCCACCATGCCATCGGCACTGATGAGACTCCCAAGATAAGTGAAGCGGTCTACACGTTCGACTACTGCACTCCCTATCACTAGTTCAGGTGCCGATGCAACCCAATCTTGAAGCAACATTTTGCCTTTCGAGGGAGAAAACCGCATCGCGAACATGCTGGCATTGTTGCTCAGGTTGGTCAGAGGACTCTGCATTTTGTCAGCGTCTTCACCAAGTAGGACAATGTCATCGGCATATTCCAAGTCAATAAGCGAGCCAGCAGGTAAAAGTTCTACTCCTGAAAATTCAGATGAGGATAAGGTTATTTCTAGGAGCATGTCTATGATAAAATTAAACAAGAATGGAGAAAGTGGACATCCCTGACGGGCACCACTTGAAGTGAAGGATTTCGGTGACAGTTCGCCATAAGCTCTCACTCGACCAGTGGTGTTCTAGTAGAGAGCTTGTATGAGGTTAATGTACTTCTTTGGCACTATAATCGGTCGATGTGTCGACATTAAAATTTCTGATGGTTTTATAACAACTCCTCATTAGCTTACATTAAGTAACAAAAGATTGAAAATTATATTTTCATTGGAATCTTGAATCGATCATTGTTAAACTACCATTCGAAACCTGAAAGCACTGTTATTGTTCACGCCGGCGAATCTTCATTAGCGCCTATCCATGACTTACGCTTGCAGCAATCGAACCCAGAACCTTCGGTTTCTTCCAAAAACGCTACACTTCTAGACCATTGAGGCACAGAATCCAACGGTGTTAGTGTCTAAATTTAATCAATCTGAGTAATTTACACAAACCCACCAATCGCCCCTGGCATTTATTGCCTGAACTCGACAGAGCTGAACTCCACTGATAATAGGTTCTCACTAGAACTCCGAGAATTTACCCGCGAAGCTAGTCAGTAGTCAGCACACTGTATGATACTCGCGATTATAATGCAAAACAACAGTTTCAACAAGTGTACTGTCTATATATTTCGATATTACAAATTGTTTGGGGAATTTTTGCTGGAAACCATTCTCACGTCAAGTAACGTTTATCAAATATGACTATCTTCTAATATAATCACTTGTCTCCTTCGGAGGAAACATCTATCAGTGATTATATTTAACTGAGATCGTTTCCACAAACCACTTCGATCGAAATTAATATATGTTTTTCTAATTTTCCCCATTTTTCCTCTCTCCCTTCTATTGTTGTTTTTCTCGCTAACAGTTTAAAATAGATCATGAAAAATCAACGCAGTCACCAGTGATTCCATCAATTGTACAACATCATGCAAAAAGATTATCTTTACGGTCAAAACCTCGTATATTAAATAAACGGCATATCAATGATCTTCAACCAGCGTTGCATTTACAAACTACGCCAAATACTTGGAATAATAAGGTATGCATGTCTGGTATCGATTGTTCAGTATTTGTTGTTATACCATTTTTGACTACTGATTCATTGTGTAATTAGTAGTATATTTTACTGTTCTTAAAATTGGTCAAACTATTTCATTGAAATTGCAATCTGAATCATAAAGAGAGAAAGTCAACTGTCTCAAGATTATTGTAGTTCACATCTGTCATTGGCAAGAGTGTCAACTTGTAATGAAATCCAGATTCTGTTGATCATTTGAAAAAAATCATACTGATAACTTTGTGTAACTGGTGAAATTGTGAATGCTGACACAATTACTAGTCAGTCAGCATGTTGATTGTATGAATGTATGAATGAATATCAACATCAAAATGAATCCAGATCATTTTAATTTTGGAGCTTTATCAAGGAGACATCTCAACAAATGCACATATTCAAGTGGTTCAATGGTTAACGAACATTTCCCGTGATGATCTCAAACAACAAATTCGTGTTGTTGATTGGGACTTACAGTTCTGAGGGAAACTCGAATTCGAATTCGCTCCGCTCAAAATCACAGTGAAGATAGTTTTATATAACGAATTTATCTTAATAAGATAACCATTTAAAACCATTTAAAAACAATCATTCGACAGCTGTTTCTTTCTAGTATGAGGCTCCTCGCCAAGACATGATGCCTAGGGTTCCACTACTGTTTGCATGGTCGTGAATTCGCACTACTGAGAAGTTTCATAGTAAGCAGGAACGGGCGCGCAGTTCTCCTTGTTTCATAACATTGGTTGAACTATGATCAGTTTTTGATATAGAACTGTGGAAATCCTGTAATTTCCGATTCTGGGTGATATGGGTTCGAACTTATCAGAGAATATTCATTGCTTTAATATTTTGGATAGCCTTCACTACAGAATGACAACCAACACAAAATCCAGTTTCACGGTTTCTTTCAAATTTACTTCTGCTATGTGACGTCATAATCCAATGAGTGTGCTATTGAAACATTTAGACAAGTCATCATGGTAAGTGCTAATGGATTGACACGGTTCGGTCATTACTAGTGACTGAACAAACAGAATACTGATAACCGAGCACCCAGTTACCGATCCGTGTACAGAATGACATTAAATTTACTTATTGAATAGCCTATGGAGATTAGCCCATCTCAACCACATCTTTTTTGGAACTGTACTGTCTAAAACTGTTCTCAATCGTTTTCAGTTGTATTTACACTGCTTTATAAATCAGGATTGTGCATCGAGCTTATTATCTACTTTTTTCGACAAAGTCGCAGAATCTATGAACTGAATTAATACCTCTTTCCCTAGTAAAGCCACACTTCTGATGATGAACGTTGAGGACACATGGTAAGGGTGACCTAGAAATTTGTTCCCCATTTTGAACTTGACAAGAGTAAATAAAAACTCGTCGTTGACTTTGACGGTGATTTTCCACTTCAGAAAAACACCTTGATGGTTACACTGGGATTACTGTTCAATTGATTTAGCACAAACGATATGACATTGGTTCTCTGATGATGGTTGGCTTGTTGTCATTAGATTATTTTAACAATGTTCATTTCAAATCTATTTTGATACAAATTTTAAGCAACAGAAATAGACTGACTATTCCATTAGGCTTACATCTCCTAGTTTTTTTATCTAGTTGGTACAGCTGTTCTTGTAATCTACCTTCTATTTTTTTTTTAAAAAATCAAATTATCTATGTATATCATGTGTGTGTGTGTCCAGCATCCATGTTCAGATGCATTTTATGCTAAATGCAGCTGTATATTAAACTATTTTTTTATGTTTAAAAAGTGTCATTATATAGTATTCAATATTGAATAAATGAAAAACTGAAGAACCAGTATTCGCTTAATTAGACTTGAACAATCACTTTACATTTAACCAATTAATAAGATCACTGATTGTGACTGATCTAAAATAATAATTTATTGAAGGAGTAGTTAGATAAGAAAATAACGGAATGAGAGAATACGAATATATATAAATTAACTGCTTTAAAATCTCAGTTCAAGGAAAAACAAACAATTTAAGGTAATAATTAGTTAATGCTTTTCATGAAATACTTATGAAGATTGTTGAATCAATCTTTTTTAGACCATCATTAGAAACGGGGAAGCACTGAACGGCCGTCCAGTTCCAGCATGTGATACTCATCAACAGTATGCATCCTTGAATGCTGCTACTCGCAGGACTCGAACCAGGGAACGTCGGTTTCGCTTGCGAACGCTTCACGTCCAAACCACTGGGCTGCTATTTAACGATGTTAATCTCTACCGCTGATCAGGCTGAGGATTTTATGTAAACTCACCTATTGTCTTCGTTAGGTTACTGCCTACACTCGACAAAGTTGAACTCCACTTGTCACGTCTTCTCACTAGAACTCTGAGCAGTTCCTCATGAACCTGTCATTAGTGAGCACATTGTACGAATATAGTGGAAAGTGAAAATAAAAAAGGTTTATAGGAAAATATAAGTTGCATTCATGATTAACAGTTATCCGTAGTTTGTTTACTATCTACATTTTGATTGGATTAATTTATGTAATCGAAATAACTTGTGACGAAATTGTCACACTAATGCCACCTGTACAGAATGCATATATCACATTGTGGTGCGCGCTACTTATAAGTAGTATATGACGTGAGTGTAAACGTAATGTCTGGCAGCAGAAGATAGGGGAAGATCAAGAAAGGAAGAGTGGGAACACAATGGAATCTGTATGAAACGCATGAATAAGTGAAATGTCAGACAATGGATTGATGATTGATTTCAGATTTGCAAATTAACGGTTACGATATGGTTTTCCTATTTTACTGAGTAACTCTGTCTTTTTCGTTAAGTACAATTCGGTTGCCCCACCTGTGTTCATGGATAACGTGTTGGGGTTTGAAGAGAATAGCTTCAGGTTCGAGTACCGACGTTTTATGGGTTTTGTCCAGTATTCCAATCGAATACAATACAACTCTATTCTATTTGAATAACGTTCTTTGGATCCAAACTGTTATTAATAATGAGGAATCAATAGTTCAACAAACCAAGCAGCAATATCTTTAAATAGGACAACTTGTACAAAATTTTATTTGACCTGCAGTTGCCTATTACCATTAAAAGACGAAACAAAGATGATCGCATAATATATCATGGCTTAATTAAATCTATACATCTACACCTTTTTGTATGCTTGCTTAGTGGTCTAAATGGTTAAATGTTTGAGTGTAAGACTGCCTTCCTGGATTCTATCCCCTGTGTGAAGTCGCTGTAAATAAGCACAGTTGAGAAGTTCCATCTGATGACTAAACAGTCATCCGCATCGTCTAATTTTGATCGATACCAACTACTTCGAGTTTTCGACTGCTCCTACTCTCATTTCAGTCCATCAATAAGATTTATCAGAGTTTACAGTTTCATTGGATATAATATTCTCTGTTGAAACCTATATAATAACTAACGATGATATTCATTTAGCTTGCTTGCTTTGCCTAATTTCATTGTCAATGTTTCTCATTTACGCTATTAAACATGCCCTACTATTATTCAGCAAATTTACTTTTATATGAACGGAGAATATTTCTTTCGATTTTGACCACCAGTGATGATGATGTGATGTGAAATGCGTGCGTGAGTAATTGCCTAGCATTTCAAAGTTTCCGTCGGTCAGTCAGTCAGTTACAACGCAGAATTTCGTACGCAAGTACATCAGTTCAAGTTACCATATGACATTAGCACAGAGATTCAACTGTCATTTTTAATCCCATAATGTTAGAGATAGTAGAACCATGAACAGTATTCGGTCAGATCACAGCGAGAAGATATTATTAATGAAGGATGATGTAGTGAAATAGGTTTGAGATGAGAAAGATGAAGATCATTAGGAGCTTAGATCAGAATTTCTGAAATGACAAAAACTGGATGCACTTGCGTCTCTGAAAACGATTTCGAGCCATGTCATTCAAGGTCTCTATCCATCGATTATTATCATCTCACGGACCCCAATTAGGTAGTCGACACTTAACAACGCAACTCAACCTAACTGTCAGTGACATTCCAGGTTTGTGCCACGTTTCGGCCTTGCTGCAACCAGGTTTCTTCCAATCTACTCCTTTGCCACAAAACATCACTCGTCGAGGCAGTCGGTGGTTAGGCATATGTAACACATGTCCCTACCATCTCAGCTGATGAAGATTCAGCACTTCATCAACTGATCTGCCATCTTCACCTAGTACTCGTTTTCTGACAACTTTATTGCCTACCCGGTTGTCCCAGGAAATACGAGCAACTCATCGAGAACACCTATGATCGAATAATAATAGCCTAGAAGTATCCTCTACTCTTACTAGTTCCAGGTGGAGTTTAAAAGTTTCCTTAATAATCACCTACCAAGAATAATTCATTTATATGTAATACTTGAATGGTTGATAACTCTATTTGATTTTTGGAAATCTACTGAAGTTAGTGAGTAATTTGTTCCTCTCACCAGCCTGAAGATATTTCTAATAATTTACCCACATAATAGCTCCCGTACAAAAATGTTGGTTGTCCTGTTTTTTTTCATGATTTCATTTTAAATTGTATTTTTAAAATTCTCATGATTGATTGTCTACAAATCTGCTTACTTTTCTGTTTAATTCATTTTGTATTCCAGGGTATTATATTACTTATCAGCTCTTCTATTTTGGCCGTTCTAGTCATCTTGTTTGTTGCTATAAAACGAATTCATCGTGTCTATGTGAAATCAAATGATACGGAATCACAAGCACGCAATTTCCACATGACATCGTATTATGATATTGATGCATTGAAACAAATGTATGCAAATCAACCAATGGATGCTTTACAAAATGAAAAGAATTTAGAAACTAGTGCTGAAAAGTTACGCAATTCCAGATTGAATGATTTTAATTCTCAAACTATAATTGGTGATCATTTTGACGGACCACAACTGCAACAATCACACGACAGTGAATTAAAACTGCCACAACCAATAAGAATTACACCGAATCCATTTGTCAATCAATCGGATATGCTGGAATATCAGTCAAAAACTGTGATACTCGATGAAAAGGTAGTTTATCATCTATATTGATTATTAGTTAATAATTTTTATTTTTTTAAAAAAAAGTGCCTTTAGAGTTGAAAAAAAATACACCACATCGTTTCTCCAAACTAGGCAGAATATTCCCAGCGTCAACCATTTGAACCGTGATTTGAATTAAAACGCCCACTGTCCAAATTCACTATGACTACTCTAGTCTAAGTGATTCCAGTTCTCGGGAACTGATTATTGTCTTGTTAGTTTGGAACTAAACAGATATTATAAAAAATTTTTCTAAACATTTGTGTTCATTTCTCAATCAAATATTGTAGTGAACGAGAACACAGGTGGGGCAACCGAATTGTATTTACGAAAATTACAGAGTTACTCAGTAAAATAGGAAAACCATATCGTAAATCGTTAATTTGCAAAATATCAGTTCATCATATCAAACTGGACTGTTCCTGTTGCAAAACATCAATCGATTGTCATTATTCATGCGTTTCATACAAATTCCATTGTGTTCTTCTAACTCTTGCTTTCTTGATCTTCCCCCATCTTCTGTTGCCAGACAATACGTTGACACTCACGTCATATACTACTTATAAGTAGCTCGCACCACAGCACCACAATATGGCAATCTTTTCTTGTTATAACTATTATAAAATGCAAATGATTAATTAATCTTACTAATTTAGAATTTTGAAAAACTTTGAAAAAAAACTAGGCGTTTACTTGTTAAAAATATTTAATTTCAAGATTAAAATAATTTTTCGTAAAAATCTCAATAGAGCTTTCTATTACAATCATCGAAATTCTCTGTAATAAGTTTTTTCTATTCAGTCATCAACCATGTTGAAAATAGGGTGAAAACTCGTAATGAGCTTAAGTGTGTCCGTTTTTGCTTTTATTACTTTGATAAAATATAAAATGAGGAGTTTATTATATTGACCAGAGCCTCATTTCAATATATTTAGCAAAACAATCGAAACTATGAAACCAAATGAATTTAGTTTGAAATCATGAATCGATCAATGTTTGATTACCGTTATAAACCTGGAAGCACTGAACTGTCATTTCATCCTAGTATGGGACTTGTCAGCAGTGCACACCGACAATCCCTGCTAGTGGGTATCGGACCTAGGACATTGGGTCTTACGCGACGACTCTTCACGACTAGACCACTGTGACGGCATCCACTTCTTAGTGTCTTAATTTAATCAGCTCGAGGTATTGGCACATCCTCCTCACCCACTCTCCTCTGTAGGTAACTGCCTACACCTGACAGAGTCGATCTCTATTGGTCGTGACTTATCACCAGAATGCCGAGGACATCCTCATGAATCTAGTCACCAGTGAGCAAAGTTCAGGCAGCGACTATCGAAGAACATTGATGCGGTTGTGTAAGAACTTTGGATTGATTACATTTAGATATTAACATTGTGTATACTGGCCAAGTGTTCGCGCGCGAGCGGAGTTCGTGGATAATTCCTACTGATAAGTCCTCTAATAGCACTTGACGGCCGTCCAGTGCTTGCAGGTTTCTCGTGATTTCAATGGAAATAAAACAATCCCTGTAACACTGTACTGAATAAAAATAAATGCTTTGAAAAACTGGGAGAGAATCGACAGTAGAATAATCATCGCTGGGAATGATTATCCAGTGAAGGAATGGACACATGTGGTAAAAATCATTTTTGTAATACATAGATTAGCGTCTTAGATTCTCATTTCTATATTTCTATACAACCCCAATAAAAAAACGATATGCGGTAAATCATTCCGAATCATGAAGTTTTTTTTTCTTGTCACCTAATCACTGTCAACATTCAACTGAGTACTGAACTGAAGTGTTCAATTAACCGAATTTATACCGTATACTACTCTTCAATCCTTTTCATAGCGTTACAATGCTGCTTTGAATATGTCATCATCAGCATATAAAAGTAATACTACTACTAATACTACTAATAATAATCCCAAAGTTCGATCACCAATTGTATGTAATCCAACAATTCAATTTTATGAAAATCCACTACGATCTGATGATGAGGAATATGGTGATGATGATGATGATTTTCAGTGTACATGCAGTGACATTGACGATGATACTAATCATAATCATCATGATGGTGATGATGACGATGATCGAAATGCAACTGTACGCAATCCAAACATCTCAACCAATTAAGTAAGGGAGAAGAATTCATCTGGAGATGAAACGGAACGTGAAGAAAAAAGTAGTCTGCTTCGATTTTAATATTAATTAATTTGTTACTTCTCTCTTCATTTATATTTATTTATTTCTTTCTTTCTAACATTTATTTCTCCAATATGATTTCTATTTTCAAATTCATTCATCTCTCAATATATAATGTGGCATTTAGTTTAGATTAGTGTTTTCATTCGTTTTCTCTCATTTTTTTTTTGAGTATAAATCTCATCAACATTGAAACGAGTCGTTCATGCATCTATCTCTATTCATCATTTGTCAATGTTTTTTTCTTTTCAATATATTCAATGTGTGTTTCCTTTTTTTTTCCCTGAGGTGGTGTGTTGATGTTTGTCATACAAAATGTTTTGCTTTCGTTATTATTTTCTTTTCTCTCTCTCTCTGTGCGCACTTTCTTCTCTCTCTCTCACACACATTGTATCGACGCACGCATTGCATTGCATTCTCGTGTGTGTTTACTTTTTTTCAATGTTCAATGATGTCAGTCATAAAATAAACAATGCCAAAGTACACTTACTACCACTTACCACACTTATAACTTATATAGCATTTATTTATTGCTTTTTCTTGACAATTTTATTGCTTTCATTTTGTGTGTGTGTGCTGTTTCATTTCGACATAATCTTCACAAAAAAAAACAAACAGTAGTATTATTATTTATTTAAAATTTACTTTGATTCATTTATTTGTTTTAATTGTTTACCTTTTAACTTTTTACTATTCTCAAAACATTGCATTCATTACATATCATTAAGTAGATATGCATTAAAATTATGTTATTTATTTATGTTATTTAATAATAAAATCACTCTAAAAATATACAAACATCATTATTACCATTATAATAGTACAAATTTTCTACTAGTTATGACTGTCTGTCTGTCTGTGGTGAAAAAAAATGTGCTATGATCAGTTAGTTTTGGCGGTAGTTGAATGAATGCCTCATCTGATGTTACTAGACTTATGGTGAATCCGTTAATTTAAGAAAATAGAATTCGGCGAATCGCGAATAAAATTTACAAAATGAATAGGATGAATCATTCTGTAAGTACAGTAACTATTACAATGCTTGTGTTCTTTACATGTATAGACTGATGACTCAAGAATATTGGCAAAAATGACCAATCGTACTGCTACGCTTTCATAGCATTCGTTCGATTATTATAAAAAAAACAATGTGGAGCCTATAGATGATGAAGTTGTTGGATTCATCTGTGAAAAAAAAACGATTTCATGAAGAGAAATATGGATGCGAAAGGGCAGATTGTCGCATGAAATTATAATAATTTGACCGACTGCTACAATTAGAACCAATATGTACATGCGCTGTTTATCGACTTCCATAGACCATTTGAGATATCATTGAGCATGGTTATTTCTCCGAATCATTTCCACGGTTGTGCTAGCTTCCTAACTAAACGAGTAACTGGACATTAAATAGTTCTGTAACAAGATTTAGAAAGTGTAATTGAATTAGATGAAATGGGTTACGTATTTTCTACCTATCTATTCCTTATTCTTTTAATTGTTATCCATTTACTAAATGATTTATAAAACAGTTGAGACTTATTGACCAAGTGTTTATCTGAACAGTTCAGATCTATTTTTATAAATATGGATGATCAAATGAAATCTTTAGTATGTTTCATTTTTGTACAAATGCTAGTGATTTTATCGCAAATATAGTGGTTCGGGTCTAGCTAGAAAATACTTTGCGTACGAGGGTAGTATGCACAGTAGTTTGGACGGAAAGAACTGGAAAAAAGATCAAAAAATGGAAGTGAGCTGATAATCCAGCGACAAACAAAATGCACATGCACTTTTAGTGGTGACGGAGTTGAGATTGACTATGATCACCACTAGATACCAGTTACTAGCTCGTCACAATTAATAAAAAGTAAATGAGGGGTAAAAGATATATTTCGGGGAGAAAGTAGGCGATACAATGAGCAGCAACGCGAAAATGAGGGTTATGTGTGAGTATGTGTTTTTAGTACATTTAAACAAAAGGAGTATAATAATAAATGTTCCCTCCTCACCAATTGCATTTTATTTGTAGAAGTATTCCACTACACACTTTTTAAGACTGTTAATTAACAACAGTCAGCAATCAGACAAGCTGGAAATCAAAACTAGGAGCAGATACTGTGAAGATTTTAAACCGTTGCACAAGTGTCAACTTAAATCCCGATTCGATGACACAATGGTCTGGCTTTTCGCATCAGTCAAACACTGCTACTGATAACACTACCCCGATTCAGTTGTATTTACTCATTCCTAGTAAATCCTATTTCTGTTTAACATTACCGTATATTCAAATTCATTAAAATTGCCTAAATATACGTAGCATGATCCATTCGTCTTCGATTAACAAGTTTTAAACAGCGAATATCATAGACATAATACATCAGGGTCAAATAAATGGACCTAGAAATAATGAATACTTACTCTGATAAGCCAAACATCAAACATCGTACCTGAGTAAACCCAAGTACAGACACTAGCCATATTATAGACCGAATCACAACTGGAAGGAAATTAGATATCCTCTTTTCTGATATACATACATACAACTATAATTGAACCCAACTTAAAACGATTTGAAACAGCTGTACTTCAAACTGATAAGGCACCGACAAAGATTAAATCAACAGTTTTAAGATGGAAACTAGGGATAACTCAACAGCTGACTAATAAAATGAGTCAGAGAATTAGATCCCACTGATAATAGGTAACCGAACGAGCACAAACGGTGTGGAGACTCTCCAACAATCTGTTAGGCTCCTTGCATTGTTGTGGTTCTCATTTCGTTGGGTTTTTGGACGCCTAAGGGTACGACAAACAATCATGTCATTTATTTTCGAAATCATGGTCTAGTGACGCCAACCAACATAACTTCATACCAGAGAACTTATCATGTTCATTCCAGAATGATAGCAGTGGAATAGATTTAAAACCCTATTTACGTAACGTTTTTGGAGCAACGATTCCATTACCGAGCATAATACATGAGTCAGTGACCGTGTGACTGAGACACTCCAGTGAAATTATTGGGGGAGTTCTTGAAAACGACGATCTTTCCATTTTGTGAGATATTCTTTAACGTAGCTGAATATCTTATCATCTTCGGTGGCTCGTTTGATGGTTTCAAAAGTTTTAATGACTCCAGTTTCATAAAGAGAACACGATTCGTTTGACAGAAATATTTGTCATTACATCCAGTGATACCAATGATTGTTTTACTTTATTCTTTGTTTAACCCACCAATTTTCCGTTCGTGTGACCTTCATCTCTCTTATTGTACTCACAGTAGTTACTCCTGTATGCTTTGGCACGATCTCGCTATTATTTAGATATCACGAGATCGCCAACAAACATACCTACATTCTTACATCCAACCTTCTTCTTCGTTTTGGTTTCACAGAGGGATTGTACCTGATAACTGGAACATAATTGGACCTTAGTGGTGATCATAGTCAACAGGGACTAGTCCCAGTAAAAGGTCATTGGTAATTCATCAACCACCTATTCCAACATTCTTTGAACTTCTTTACCACTTTTGATTGCTGTGAAAATATTAATGTCTTCCGGTTTATTTTTGCATTTGCTTGTTCAAAGTTAGTAGAAGTTACTAATTAACCTGATAATCGTAACCCATAAGTGTGTTGGCTCATCATTATAGCCAATTAACTCTATAGATAGAAATCCTTTTCTTAGACCTGCTAGCAATGATTTATTATCAGTGAATAGCTTGAACTGTCTCTCTAATAACGTATGTTAAATGTCTTTACAGAGAAAATAGTTGTCAGTGCTTCTTTTTCAATTTCACAGTAACTACGTTCCGCTGTAGCTAAATATCTTGATCATATAAGATGACTTGGAGAAACACCTAGGCAATGAATGTCAGGAAGAAAACCTATGAAGTGACTAACGAGACTTAGCTTCCGATAAATCTGACTTTGCGAAAATCGTACCTAATTTAAATTGACGAAGACAATTTTAAGCAAAGGCGTTGTACAAACACAACCATCTGGCCATCACACAACCAGCATGCAGTTTCGTGAAATATAAACTTGGTATTCATTTCTCTCGACTACGCTGACAAAGTGAAATCGGTTATTGTTGCCTATCATTGTGAAACCATGTTTCAAATTCGCTTTTGAAGTGCTGAAGCCCTTTTTTGCAGTCTAGTGCCTGGAAAGTGCTAAGGTTTGCCAAGAATGTACGTTTGGTTATCTAAGTCATCAGGTAAGTGCAGGCTTCTTATGCTCGTCACTAGGAATGTTTGAAACTATTACGGGTTCACCTTAGTCGATAAAATGAGAAAGAGGTATTGAACCAGCGTCCAGGTATGCTACTCTGATCCACTGACCTAAAGAAACTAACGAGAAGTTCTGATATAGCGAAGAAAGTGTATTCTGCAAACACCCAACAAGCCTAATGAATTAAGCATATAAATCGCGTTTATTTATACACCGTAGAGACGTCCTTGGGAGAGTCACAAAATAGCACACTAAAATAACACAGAAGCTAACTATAATCAAGGCTATTCGTGGTAGGAAATGTGATCTCAAGGTCAACTTATCAGCCCATGAATACAACCCGCACTAAAGACATTTATCAAGTGGGTTCTGTGGGTCTAACATCACCAACAAGGCTACTGACGGACATCGGGCACTTCGACTGGTCTTCTGTCGAAGAAGATAACTTAAACCTCTGTTGTTCTCCGTTCACAGTACCTGCAAGCTACACTCTTTGATATCTCTGTTCTTTAACTATCTTCAAACACGTTCCATTATTTCAAGTTTTCTTTAAAATATTCCGGCTTTTGAAGTGCCATCCACTCTGCAGACTTCACTACGGAACGACTCCCCATACTTCTTGAGCCATGAGTCAAAATTAACACCAGCTCAACTATCAAACTGAAATACTTGAATGGAATTAATTACTAAATCTGTATGTACTACCCGGATGTGACTTACTGGGATAGATCTAGTTCTCCCAAAAGCGTTTCTGTAATTACCCTCCACAACGTTCAAACTTTTTTTAATGACATGGCATATGAGTTGCAAATTTTTTTGAAGTATTGTTCAGTGTAATTCTAATCATCATCACTGATAAGTCTACTAAGTGAACACCAGGTCTGAACACTTATCTGCTTCCAATAATCCAAGAATAAATCTACATTGCTGTTTGAATACAAGGGTAAAACAGCGATGAAAAAGATGAATGCTTATCCCAAAGTTAGTTTAGTGCACCGAAAAATTAGAAAATTTATAGAGTTACAAATGACCCCGAGGTTCTGGGATGTTCGTGAAGGTTGTTTCCAATGCTGACTAGATAACTTTTCTAGAAGATATTCTGTGGCTCCTCAGCATTCACTAGAGCTTTTGATATGTTACTAAAACAACAATAACAAAACAAATTAGAATAAAGGGAATATTAATTACCGCGAAAATTAGCTTGATAAAATTTCTAGATAACCCACATGGTTCTGTAGAAGATTATGATCTTAGCTATATATGGGAGTATAAGTTAAAGTAGCTAAAAAGCCACAGGCTTCACACAAACTAAACACACGAGCTTCCCTGAGTAAACAGAAATCGCCTAACACAAAACCGACCAAACAGGCAACAAAGGTAACCGAAACCTGAATCAATACATCAACGGGACTATCGGTTGTTGTAAAACCCCTCCCCACATCTGCAAACAACAAGGAGCAGTTTGTGAGCGTAAGTGCGTAAATTGTCTACATCATGGTTTGAAAAACGCTACGAATGAGAGGCGGGGACGTTTCAGAGTCGCAGGGCAGCTTACAATAAAGAAG